AATCACTTCTCAATTGATTGTAGCACTATGCAGATATGCTGGTTTTTGATCACGAATTTGTTGACATTTTCCATTATACTACTGACTTAGCTTTTCTTTACTTTTTATTTAAAGTTTTTCATTTTGGTACTGTGAGGCTGCTTTTTTTTTCTTTTCAAATTTTTCTTCCTTTTTCAGGGACCTTTTTGATATTGTATTGTGGATCCCACTCTGTGGCAAGTGGTACCTGACCAGGTATACTTTTTCTTTTTGAAAATCCATGCTATTCATCCTGCAACCATGCTTGATGTCAATGAAATTGTAGCCCTTCCTCTTGTGGACCTTATGTACAATTACAGATGCCACCAGATGTTGGTTGTGTCTCTGTTTTATTATTATCTATGAATAAATAATCATGTTGCAGTTTGGTGTTATGCACACTATAGAGATGGAGTGTTCCGTAGAACTGCTAGTAGTGCTCCCTAGTGGTTTTTTGCTTCATACACTCATGGATTAACATGAGTAAAGCAGACAAAATTTGCTGCCCATCTCTGCTGCTCATTGGCATTGCATCTCTTCCTACTGTAGATCTGATGTACAATTCCAGATGTTCCCTGGTTTTGGATGACTGACTCCGTTGACGTGGTAGCTTTGCTCTTCAAAATAGGGTATCAAGGTCACCCTTTGCACTTTCTCAGATGATGCTGTCCTCTGGGCTCTCGAGCAAGTTTTTCCCCCTTTCTTCTAGTGGAGTATAGAAAGCCTTACCAGTTCCTAGCTGCTAGAGTGGTGACCCATGGAGGCCTGTCCCCCTGAGTGATAAATCATAGCACTCAATTGAGAGTAGGGCGGTAGCATTATGCAGGTGGTGTTAGCATATAGTACTTCCTACAATGGACCTGATGTGCAGTTCCATATGGCACCAAATACATGTACATTCCAGGTGGGTCTGGTTTTGATTGGGGATGGCCCGGTCACAATTAGTGTCATGTGTAGATGGCATGATGCCTTTCCTACCGTGGACCTCATTTACAATTATCCAGATACCACCAGGTTTTGGTTGAAGCACCCTGGTGGTATGTCACAAATAAATAAATAAACATATATGTAAATATATATATATGTATTATATATATAATTACAGTTTGTTCCTCAGGCTGAGATGGTCCAGCAATGCAAGTCCTCACATTTTTGCTGGCCAGTATCTTTCCTCCTACTGCAGACTGCATGACACATTCCCACTGCAGCCAGGTTTTGGACTGGAGATGCACCCCAGGTTTGCAGTCTCTCTTCCTACTGTCTGCTTGATGTTGGTTCCTGACAGATCTGGTGTTGGTTGTAGCTGGATGCTGCACGTTTTCCCACTTGTGTACGGCCAGATATCCTCCTCCTACCGTGGACTGGAAGTACTATACCCATTGCCATCAGGTTTCGGATTGGAGATGCTGTTCTGCCAGGGCTTTCTACCTTCGTACCATGTGCTGGATGTCAGTTCTTGGTAGATCTGGTGTTGGTTGTGTTGGAAATGCAAGCAAGTGGTGAAGGATTTTGCTACAGAAGCTTGTCTTCCCTACCAATTCCTGTTTTGAGGTGAAGAGGTAGGTAATTCTCTACATACCGTGGATCTGATGTTCCATTCCAGGTACCACCTGATGTTGGATGAGGTCAAACTACCACTAAGGTCTGTCATGTTCTAGCTACTTGACACCCTGGAGTCCCATTCATTGGTCATTCATATTTTGGGATTCCTTCATGTTTTTCTGCCTTTTATGTTTGTGACACTATCATAAAAGAGCAAAGAGTATACCTGTAACAGATGTGGTGTGGTTTCCTGCTGAGGTATTGTGTTTTCTCTTTTGGTTTCACACCTCCTGGTCTCTCTTTGGTCCTCCACCAGTTCAGTGTGGAATTATAGCTATTTTGTGACAGGAGGTAAGATATTGTATCAGAAGTTAGCATTTTCCTACACTGAAAATGTATTTCCAGTAGATACTTACCTCCACTCGCATTTTCATACAGAGTACAGATAACCCAAGAACTAGATACCCAAGATTACTGGGAGGGTCTTGGAGTGTTCTTCCTCCCAGAAATATTTTGAAATGATTTTCTCGCATTTTAAATGTACGAATTAATACATACTTTTTCCGAAGTTATCGTTAGGGCTGAGCAATTACCTTGATTAAGTGATATCAATTACGTTGATTAGTGTCGTGTAAAGTAACTAAATGAAATTATGATTAAATTCATTAAAGCTGTGCAAATATCCAACTGATCAAAATTAATTATTCTGATTATTACTGTTTTTAATTATTACAACTATTCAAGTAACCAAAATATTGCCATTATGATTACTCACTATTTTATGATTAATTCGTGGTTAAGAAGCTTTATCGCTTAGTGTCACCACTCCATTAAAATAATCAACTAATCAAAATTAATGTTTCTGATTATTACTATTTTTGATTATTCCAGCTATCCAAGTCTTGTGAGAATAATTGTATTAGTTGAATGTAATTGATTAATTATCCAAATTGTTAATTGATTAGCAAATTCCACTAATTGCTCATCTCTGTTTGTCATTGATTTTACATCTCATCTCTGCTAGTGGCTTGATATAGAATATACTCCATTTACAACTTGAGATACAGTTAATTTACCAAATAAGAGTCCAAGCACTTGGGGCAATAAAAATAAGTAACACATGTAACTGGCATTATTATATTTTTAATTCTCTAGTTTACTGCTAGCAACAAACGTAAGGCCAGGATTAAGTCATTAAAAATTTGTATTTACTTATTTATTATTTTAAAAACTAATTTATAATAAGTGGTAATTATTAGGATTTCAACGCAGTATTTTATATTACAGTTAAGTCGAGATTTTAGTCTAGCAGCAACTGATCAGAGTTTGTGCAGAAAGTGGAGTGGCAACAGCTGCTGCAGCCACTAATGCTCCAATGCCCATCTTTTGTAATGATGCCTTGCCCAACATAACTTCCATTATGGTTATATTCAATGAACATATTATTTACCTTTTTCTTTCCAGCCCCTTAGTTGTTCTGTGATTGATAAAGACATGAAATTTGACTCATCAGTGATTGATAGAAACATGAACTTTAACTCATCTGTGAAGAATACAAATTCCTATGAGAATTGTTACTAATTCTAGTTATCCAAACCAAAGTCCAAATGGAGTTAAATTTGATCTCTTCCTCCTTAAGCTGAACTCATAAATTATGTTCACAACTATATGATTACTGTAATCATACCATTTGTTCCTTTGAAGTCCATATTGAGCCTATGCAAGAAAATGACAATTCATAATGCTCATGTGCAGAAAACAGTCATTATGTAGTGTAATTGAGTATTCACAGTCTTGTTCAGGCTGTTTAGTATATAAACTGATTTTCTGATAGCGTAACTACAAACTTCTCTCTACTGCACTGAATATGCCAAAGTAAGTTGTCACTAACTCCTGCATTCGTCTTGTTTCCAATACTTGGACAACTCTGACACTTAACTTTCATTAAGACTTCTTGTGCCACCAACAGATACGATTGGTGTATCATTATAAAGAAAGAACCAAAATGGAAGTGATTACCCAATCAGCAAATGACCAAGTCTGAATATGAAATGAAGGGGTACTCGCTTTCCAGGGCTAGTAGCATGTGTGAAGTTCATCAAAATAATCACATATTCTTATAACAGAAGATATATATAAAACATGCGTGTAACTAATGCCATATTTATTGATTTTTGACGTAATTTTCCTGTATTATGTGTTTGCCAATTGAATAATTTGATGCACAGTAGTTAATTTTTTTCATTCCATTTTAGTAACTATTTTGAATGGAGCATGAACATCATTTAATGAAGTTTCCTGTTCATATAGCACGAATTCTGCTTTGAAAAAGTAGTGCCCTGATTAATGAATTCTTTTTTCTTCCAGCATACCACAGAATGATGGAGAACTTAATAATCCTTTTTCATTTGTGACAAGTTCTACTTACTAAAGAATAATGTAATATTTAACGAGTTTACCTTTCCTTTAACTAAGCGCTCTGTTTATTAAAACATATTACCTTTTTTTTGATGAACTTCATTCTGTTTTTCAGCATGAACTCTGTCTTACCAATAACCTTCTTCATGCCAGTGACTTTCCTGTAAGTTTTTGAACTTGTGGTTTCTGATCTTCATCTGAAGTTAAACAGATTGTAATAAGTGTATTTGGTTTGTTACAAAATAATCAATACTTGTATGTTACATTTATTGTTCTTTGTACTGAATATAGTCAAAATAAAAAACTATATTCTGCATAGTGTAAAAACTTTAAAGTTATTTATCAATGAAATATTTGTCACTTTTAATGATTCTCACTACATACATAAAATGTATTGTACATAAAACATCTTTGTATTGTATTGATTTATTATATTTTTGACAATCCTACTCTTTGTTACCATAAACAGTTTTTACTTTACTTCTAATATGTCTGTACTAAAATAGATTTGTTAGAACTGTATCTGTTTAACAAGTGAGTACACTTACAAAATTGTTTTTTATTCCTCAACTTTTTACCTGTTTTACTTAAATTATTAGTACATGTAGATAGTGACTTTTTCTATCTTTAACTGTTTATTCAGTATATTCAGTAACTGCACAAGACGTTTCTGTACTAAAACATTGGTATGGAGGTTCATTGGATCCATATGGGGTATATACAGATTTTCAGTTTTATGGTTTTTATGGGCAGTTTGCAGTTTTATCACTACTTCACTCCCTGTAGAATGAATCTTCACCAAATTTGGTATGAAGGTTCATTGGGTCCATGGGGAGATACATAAAAATTTCCAGTTCTGCTGTTTATTTGGCCGTTTTAGTGTTTTTTTACTACTACTTCGCCCCCTGTAGATGGATCTTCAACAAATTTGTTATGGAGGTTCATTGGATCTATGCAGAGATACATGCAAACCTGTGGTTTCACATTTTGTTTTGCAGTTT